CTGACATTCTCTTGCTTTGCCACCCGACGCTGCAGCTCCGCTCAGGGGAGGCTGACCTTGACCCAGCAGGCTTCTCTCCATGGCTGTGCATTCAGGTACCTCGGGTTCTGTTTTCCAGCTCGAGATCAAAAGAATGGAAGTGCTGGATGCAAGGCTCCCAGGCAAAACAAAACAGAACAGATCTACCAGAGCCGAGGAACTTTTATTAACTTCCCAGCTGGCCCCAGAGGTCCCCATAGGAGGAAATGTAACACTGTTTGGAAAAAAATATTTTGACAAGCGCTGGGGAGGAAGGTAAGAACTTGACCAGGGGCCAAAGCCTCGGAGCATGGGAGAACACAGCCCAGGGAGGAGGAAGACTTCACGGCTCCCAGGGCATCCAGGACAGCGGCAGGGAGAAGCTGCAGAGAAGAGGAGTCATGACTAATATTTGTTGATACCTTGATCTGCCCGAACAGCTTGAGGAATGTGCACACTTTGTGCTTCACATACAGCAGCGAGCAAGGTGCTTGATTACCAAACAGAGCAGAAAGAACAGGGAGAGAGAGAAAAAACTAAAAGGGATTAAAGGTAAAGAGCAGTTGGAAAAGAACGAAAGAGAAGAGATAAAGAAAGTGTTTGGGCCTGGCCGAGGCCGAGCAGGCAACTTGCTGGAAGGTGTATTAGTTATAGCGAAGGCACATGGGGCCTCTGGAAAGGGGAGACCGGGAGTCACAGTGGCTCAGACAAGATAGGAATGTCTCCTGCCTAGTAAGTAGCGGAACGTCATGGGTTCTGCTGCATGAATGTCTCAGGCCCTCAGCCCGTGACACATGAAGGTTTACTGGCATCTCCACATTACAGCCAGGGAGAAGGGGAATGGGGGGAGGGGAGGTCTGTCCCTTCCCTGCAGGGACACCTCCTAGAAGGTGCACACATCACCCCTGCTCACAGCCCATCCTCCAGAGCCTGCTCCACCATCAGCCCTGTCTCAAAGCGGGGCTGGGCAATATGGCTGAATTCTGATCAGCCATGGGCCCAGCTGAATATTCTGTGACTCTGGGAGCTGAGATCATGCTCCTGGAGGGAGCCACGGATCTCTGCCACACACGGAGATTAGGGGGCAAATAGGATTGGTGGCAAGGCTAGGGAATCCGGCCCAGAAAACTGGTAGGAGCCCACAGTGGCCATGTGTCACAGTGGACGCAGCCCCGGTCACAGCCAAGGGAGAGGCTGGCTGGGGCTTGTCCCCACTGCTGTCGCCGGGAAGGACTGTCCATCTGTTCCCACATCGTTGCATCAGGATCCAGAGGGCAGGGGTTCCATTGGCAGAGGCACAGTCACGAGCCTGGGCGTCAATGGCCGAGGGCTTTTGTGGAAGGAAAGGGCTACCGGGGCCACCCACACCATGGGATGGAGAACTCCTCCCTGTAGAAGATGGGAGTTGGATGCCTGACAGCATGCATCCCCAAAAGAGCCAAAAAAAAAAAGTCCATCACACATGTAAGGCCAATTCATCATTCTTGGAGTAACCATTTGAGATGAGCACTGTGACCACCCCAGTCTTCAGGTATCAGGGGTAAACTTTGCCAACCACCACTACAGAACTTTCTCTGAGCTCCGCATTGCTCTAAGTACTTTACAACTATCGACGCTTTTAACTTGTCTTGGCCCCAAAACGAACATCCAGGACAGGTACCTTAGTCCCCCCACCTTATAGAGACACCGGAGGCAGGGGAAGGTGCCCCCCAGCTGGGAAGCTAGTAAGGAGCAGCAAAGCTGGGATTTGGACCCAGGCAGTCGGGCTCCAAGTCCACATTGCACTACGTTGTCGGTGGCAGAGAGAGGCAGCGGGGAAGCGTGTGGGGCTGTGCACTCTGGGATGAGGCTCACTCCTCCCCCTTCCCCCCCACCAGGTTTTCCAAACAATTTTCAGCAGAAGATACTGGATTCTTGAGTATTTCGTGAATGTGCGTGGTTGCTGACTTTCTCCAGATCAAGCCAATTTCATGGCAGGGTGAGTGAGGGACGTTTCAGACGTGGCCCTTCCAGGGAGTGGGGGCCTGGAGCAAGAGCATCCCAGCCCCCCACTGGGAATTAGCCAAAGTCTAGGAGAAGCTCTGGAACTTCACCAGGCCTCAGAACAAAGGGCAGAAAGCCAATCTCATTTAGGCCTCAGAGGCAGGATGGCCAACGGCTGCCAGTTCAGCGACCCGAGCTCGAGAGCAGCAAGCAAGGGGGTCAGCTTCCTGCCCGAGCCCTCACACAGCCGCCTGGATCTTCAGTCACCGCCGCTGCCTGGGAACTGGATTCACAGATTCGAATTCCCCCTGAGCCGGTCCTGACCCCCGGTTCCAACAGGGGTGCATCAAGCAGGCTGTAGCCACAAGGCAGAAAGCTGAGAAAAGGGAAAACAGGCCCGCACAGTCCATCAGTGGGCAATCTGTGCCCGGATTCAGCTGGAGCATCCCTGGACTTACCCCAGGCTGCTGGGCCCTGGACCTCACAGGGACCCCGCTGACCTCGAGAGTAAGGGGCCCGGCCCCGGGGAAGCCTTGCTTCAGAGAAATTGCTATAACCTCCTCCAAGAGCCCCACGGCCGATTAGAGAGCTGGGGTGGTGGGAGCTGTAGGTCCTCAGGGGCCGGCCGTCCACACACACACACACACACACACGCATGCCCCCAGCATCAAGGTGTCCCTTGACTGAGTCACCGCATACCCGATACCCGTTATTGTGTCCCCAGGGCTGAGGGGGTCCTATTCTTCTACAAGCAGTAGGAGGAGATTCAACCTCTCAAAACTCACAGGCCAAGGGAGTTTAGTTATTATTCCTATATGTTACTAATTATTATCATTATCATTATTGTTATTCAGCCGTCCTTTATTAGTATTTCCAGTACCGTGACCTGTATTAGGCATTTGCTGCCTTTGACCTTCCCCCCCCCACGTGAGGTGGGGACCCCACATCCACCCTGCAGGCGGAGACATGGAAGGTGGGAAGGTTGACATGATGGAGGAGGGAGAGCCTCCTCCATCCTGGCTGGAGAGCACCTCCAACGGGAGGAGGTGATGGCTTGCCTTTCTGGGAACAAAACAGCCATTTCTGAGGTGACTTGGAAGAATAGGTCCTCATGGTGAGGGTTAGGGGGCTGACCAGCAAAGCTGTGTCTCCTGGAAGGCCCCTTACCTTGGTCTCCCGAAGACACCTGGGAGGGTTCTCCCTGGGTGCCAGGATCCCAGGGTAAGTTGAGACTGATTTCCAGCAGCCCGCAGAGGACTCCACACCCACTTCTCGGGGGTGGGTGTGCGTCTGGGGAGCCGTATTTGTATTATGTCTTCACTGACATCTGTAATGGATGGAACAAGGTTTGAAGAGCTAATCCAGGGGAGCCAGCCCGCTTTGGGGCCAGAGACCCATTTTTTCTTTCATAAAAATAGGAGCCGAGAGACATGAAGTCTCCGATTAACAAGTGCTGGGCTCTGGGTCTGGAGGGGCCTGTGGACTTAGAGCCAGTTTGTACACCACATAAAGCAAAGTTGTCAAGGTTCTCTTTTGTGCCCCCTCTCCCCGCAGACTGGCAGACTCTTGCTTGCATGCGATGGACCAAAATTATAGGGGAGGAAAGAAGCCACAAGGATGCAGAGTAAGTGAGTAGAGCAGAAGAAGAAGAGGAAGAAGGAGAAGGAGGAGGAGAAGGAGAAGGAGAAGAAGAAGAAGCAGAAGAAGGAGGAGGAGAAGGAGGAGAAGGAGGAGGAGAAGGAGGAGGAGAAGGAGGAGGAGAAGACGAAGAAGAGGAAGAAGAAGGAGGAGGAGAAGGAGAAGGAGGAGGAGAAGGAAAAGGAGAAGAGAAGGAAGACCCTGGGGAAGAAGGAGAGAGAAATAAAGTAAATGAAAGAACGATCCCTTTCTCTCCCTCCCTGCTCTAGGTTTTCTGAGGCCCGACGCCACATCATTTCCATGATATCTGTACTGCCCTGACCTCCCTGGAGCTATTTTGAGTGATTTCTATTCCTCACAACTAAACCATCCCTAACAGAAAGATAGGAGCCAAGCATGGACTTGCAATAATGAGGTCTCCGAGGAAACATGAAGCCATCATGTGGAATCAAAACAATGTGAGAGGCAAGGAAGTTCTGTGGTAGCTTGGTTAACAGCCACAAATTCTTCCCGTTCCGGCCGTCCGCCCCTCTGCAATATGACCTCGCTGAGTCCCAGCCAGAGGGAGATCCTGCTTCTCCACCCCCTCGAATTGAGGCTGGCCTTGAGACAATGGAATCTGGCTGGAGTGAGGCGGTGTGAGTTTCGGAGCCCAGGCATCAAGAGGCCTTTTGGCTTCGCCTTTGCCCTCGGGGTCTCTGCTCCCAGCCTAATGTGTCCAGAAGTCAGGGCTGGCCTCCTGGAGGATTAGAGACCACGCAGAGGACCGCAGCACCCAGCCCACAGTCGGCACCACTGTCAGCAGCAGGAGTGAGCGCCCAGGCGCTTCCAACCCCTCTGATCTCGGAGCCGACTGCAGCTGGATGCATGAACCCAGAAGACATGACAGAGAATCTCTTAGATGATCCGGAGCTAGCCTAGATCTTTGTTTTAAACTGCTAAGTTGCGGGCCAAGTTCTTTTAAGCTGATAAACTGATACCAGTTAAAGAAACCAGCAACGATGCCTGGGCTGTTTCCATAACCCAGAGCTAATTCGTATGCACAGGTGCTGGGACCTTGGAGACGGGTGGAGGCTGGAAGGACAGTGATGGAATGACCGGTGGGAGCTGGAACCATGGGGAGGAAATTGCTCCTGGAGCCTGGGGAAAGGGGACATGTTGCATCGTGGCAGAACAAGTGGCAAGACTGTTACCTGTCGATACTTGGAAGATAGAAAATGTACCAAATGAACTTACGTGTCTGGCGAAGTAGTTTTCCAAGCCCAGTGTGGAGGAGACCGCCAATGGACTTCCTTTGCCATGTGCGATAAGATATAAGAATAGAGAAATGAGCCGAAGAGAGCTCTGTTCAGTTTGCAGCAGAATTTAGAAGCAAAAGGAAACCACCACGATGTACTGAGTTGAAAAATAAAACCATTTCTTTTTTTGAATTTATTTTAGAGAAAGAGAGAACATGAGCGGGGGGTGGGGGGGGCAGAGGGAGAGGGAGAGAGACCATCCCAGACTCCCCACTGAGCACGGAGCCCGACGTGGGGCTCAATCCCACAAACCTGAGATCATGACCTGAGCTGAAATCAAGAGTTGGACGCTTTACTGACTGAGCCACCCCGACACCCCAATAAAACCATTTCTTATCCCTAGTCTCTCCTGGTAAAGGAGTCTCAGAGTACAAAATGGCCTCAGGGTAAAAATAAATCAAGGATGTGACTGTAAGACCCTTTTTTTTTTAAAGTTATATTTATTTATTTGAGAGAGAGAGAACAGGAGGAGGGGCAGAGGGAGAGGGACTCTCAAGCAGACTCCCCACTGAGCATGGAGTCCGACATGGGGCTCAATCTCACAACCCTGAGATCATGATCTGAGCCAAAACCAGGAGTCAGATGCTTAACCGACTGAGCCCCCCAGGTGCCCCTGTAAGACCCTTTACTAAGACCTCAAAATGGTCAAAGGCACTGCTGTGAAGCCTTCTCAGCTGTAGAAAAGGGTTTCTAAGACTCTTACAAGTGCTGAACTGTGGTGCACCCAAGGTAGAGAGAGATCTGTCTCAAAAAGAATGATGTGGCTTCTGGGGCATTGAGTATCCCCACGTATGATTCATAAGAAACCCATAACATTTGAGATAATCATATTAACCAGAGTACCCCTAGTTTGGACTAAGAAGAACTGAAATAGTTCAAAACGAAAAGAATCCTCTGAATTTCACAAACAGGAAGCAAGCCAAGAAAGCTACTCAGTGCAAATAGTTCTCCTGGACAAGGAGAATCTCTTAGACAGCAGAGCCCAGGGTTGGAGCCAACAGCCAAAGGGAATGATGGACTCAAGGCCACCCCCAGGGGCAGAACCAGGCCCTAATCAGGGAATGTCTTTTCTCCCCAGAGCAGAGGAACTTGATCACAAGCACCTGGCTGGATTTCAGAATTGTTACGGACCAGCGATCACCATGTGTCTACTGTCCCTCCCTTTTCAAAACGAAATAGTCTATCTTGTCTCACCATTGCATAACTGGTGTGTGAGGGTAGATCAGTTGCCCGGGGTGAAGGGGAGCACCATCCACATCCGGACCTGACCTAGACCACAAGACTCCAGATGCTGAACCTGGTGTTGCACTGGAGGAAACCTTGAAGGTCTTGGGAGCAGGCTACACATAACCTGCTGAGGAAGGAAAGTGAATCATTTGTGGCTGGAAGACAGATGTGGGCATTCTTTAGAGGCTGCAAATTCCTCCCAGGCCAGGATGCCCACTTCTCTGCATGACTGCCCTGTCTCCCAGCAGGGATGGAGCCTGGTAATCCATCCTCCTGCATGTAAGTTGACCTTGGGACTTGCTCCCACCAACAGAATCTGCCAGAAGTACAGATGTAGGAGTCTCAGGCCTTTGAGCTTCTGTCTTGGCCCTCTTGGGACTGTGCCCTGTGCCCACCAGGCCTTGAAGAAGTCTGGGCTGAAAGACCATGTGGAGAGAGAAGGATCTGGTGTCACCACCACCCCAGATGGACCCAGGCCCCAGCTGACCTTCTGCTGACCCCAGACACAGCCACAGTGGTATTGTCCAGTCAATTACAGAACCAGGGGAAACATAAATTGTCTAAGCTACCAAGATCTGGTGTGGTTTGTTATGCAGCAGAGTCTAACTAAAACATCTCCCCCCACATACTGGCGGCCACAGTGGACAAGCTCCAGTCTCTGACTGTGGCCCTATCAGGAGGGGGGACCACAGGGACCATGATCACTGAAGGTCAGGATACTGGGGCTCGCTGATCACTCCTTCTGGTCTAATGTAGAAAAAGAGAGAGAGAGAGAGAGAGAGAGAGAAACACCAATTCTGGGTTTTCCAGCTGAAGCTGGATATTTTTTTTTTAATGGAACAATTTTATAGCTTTTTGCTTTTCTCCAGCCCTCTGAGATGGTCGAGGCCTAATCTGAAAAATAATCATGCACCTTGCCAAATTGCAACAGCTGAATTTTCTGCCATTCTGGGTTTCTATGATTAAAATTAATTCACTTAATAAAAAAGACTGGCAGAAAAGGAGGAAATTGGGCATTCTAGGCAGAGAAAAAGCTTTGAGCCGAAGCTCAGAGATGTAATATCAAGGAGACTTGCACTCAGATGCAAGTCAACAAGTTCTGGATTAACAAGGCCCTTGGCCAATGGTTCCTAAATATCAGTGTGCATCAGAATCACTCAGACGGAGGGCGCCTGGGTGGCTCAGTCGTTGGGTGCCTGCCTTCGGCTCAGGTCATGATCCTGGGGTCCTGGGATCAAGCCCCACATCGGGGTCCCTGCTCGGCAGGAAGCCTGCTTCTCCCTCTCCCACTCCCCCTGCTTGTGTTCCTGCTCTCGCTATCTCTCTCTCTGTCAAATAAATAAATAAAATCTTTAAAAAAAAAAAAAAAAGAATCACTCAGACGGTTTGTTAAAAACCCAGACCACTCAGAGTTTTTGATTGAGCAGATCCATGTGGTGGGGGGAAGGGCAAGAATGTGCTTTTCTGACAAATTCCTTTGTGATCCTGATGATGATGTTCAAGCAGGTACCACACTTTGAGAACCATTGGCCTGAACTTAGCCCTTGAACAAATAGCGGTGGGTGGTGGGTGGTTAAGGTGATTGAAGTGGTGGTTCAGGTCTCAATAATGTCACCACGAACCCAGAATTCCAACCTGTCTTCTTGGACATCCTTAACTTATTGGTTTTCATCCTTATGTTTGAAGTCTCCTGGTCACAAGATGGCTGCAACAGCTCCAGAACTCACGTCTGCGTGTAAAGAAGGAAGAGAGTAGAAGTTGATCCATGAACTAGTGGAATTTGAGCTCTTTATCAGGAATTCGAAGTTTTCCTTGAAAGGCCAAACCTCTTCCCACTACTGCTTGTCCCAACTGCCCCAACCAGACTGTCAGATACATCCCTAGCTATAAAGAGTCTGGGCGATGGAGTGTGTAGCTTTCTCACTCCTATGGCAGAGGCGTGCATGGAAGAGGGGGTGCAAAATGAAGCTCCAGTGTTTGTCACAAAAGTGAAGGTGACCAAAAAGCCTGGAGGTCACTCCTTGCCAGAATCAAGTAGGGGACACACTAGGCACCCAATTATGTGTGAATGAATGCCAGGAGTGGATGCAGAAAGAGCAGTGGGTTTGGATCTCTTCTGCTTACCGGTTGGATGATCTTGAACACGTCACTTTACCTCTGAATCTCGGTTTCTCTTTCTGTGAAAAAGCAAATGACCTCATTGAGTTGTTGCGAGCATTAAGTAGGGTAACATATATGAAGGGCCCCGGATGGGGCCTCTGACCCTGAAAGGTGGACTGTAATCAGGAGTGTGCCACCTTTGCAAGAGTGCCCACCGACGGAGGGCTCGCTGTGGGCGGGGCTCTATGTTAAACCCTTTATGGCCCTTTCTCATTTCCTCCCCACAATAGAATTCCCATTCAGAGGGGGAAAACAGAGGACAAGAGGAGGCTTTTATTTATTTATTTTTTTAATATTTTATTTATTCATTTGACAGAGAGACAGCACAAGCAAGAGGAGTGGCAGGAAGAGGAAGAGGGAGAAGCCAACTCTCTACTGAGCAGGGAGCCCCATGTGGGGCTCGATCCCAGGACCCTGGAATCATGACCTGAGCCAAAGGCAGATGCTCAACCGAATGAGCCACCCAGGCGCCCCAAGAGGAGGCTTTTAAAGTCACAGGCTGGTAAGCAGAAAGCAAGGACCAAACCGGGTCTGTTGGGCTCCAAGTGTGCACCCTCAGCCACTCCTTGAGATTGCTTTTCCAGAAAAATAAGCCTCTACAGAGCCACCAACAGCGCGAGCTCAGCTGACGCCCTGGCCCGTCCTGCCCTCACTGGGTGACTAACTCAGGACAAGCCAGACTCGCCTTGACTCTCCCCACCCCTCAGCTGGAGGCGGCCTGCGGGAGCCAGGCAGGGCCAGCCTGCCACCCAGACTGCTGTCCCCAGCAGGAGTGGGGTCCCGCCTGGCTGAGTGCCTTCCAATTAGACTGGGTCTCCTGGCCAGGCAGGAGGTGGCAAGTAGGCAGGGCCCAGCAGGGAGCAGGCAGTTAGAGGGTAATTAGATGGGGATGTAGAGCAGCTCCTTTAATGAGGAGGTTGTTCTGGGCAAGGGACACTGAGGAGGAGTGTCTCTCCAGGCACCTGCTCCCTGCCGGCATCTTGCCCTGGGCACCATGAGGAAGCAAGAAGCAAGCGACATTCTTGGGGGCCCAGGCCCTGTGCTGGCCATAGGTCTCCTTTACCCTCGGAACACCCAGGCCGTAGATGAGAATCCTGGGACTCGGAGGGAGGAACCCCCCCCCCCTGGGGTACACAGCTAGGAAGTGGCAGAGAAAGAGGCTGAAAGGTCTGAGACCCGGGTCTGTGCTGTATCCTCTTTCACACCATTCGTCTGATGCTCTTCTGCTCACGTCCTCTGATGCTAGAGCACCTGATGGGGACTGATAGTTGACACCAAGGAGGATATTCAAATTATTTACCAACCGGTGTGCCAGGGCTGTGAGCTGCAAGAATTTTGATTTTAACAAGCGCCCTGGCCATAGTCATGGATGCATCAGGGCAGAACCTGAGCCACCGTTGGGTCGGCCTTTAGAGGTGGCGTTCACTTTCTAGGCCACTGGGCTGTGGCCAGAGGGGCTGCTCGGGCCCTCCCCTTGAACACCCCCTTCCCTGCACCCCAGAGCTGGCGCCCAAAGCCCAAAGATGGGTGACTCACACCTTCTCCCCAGAGCTGACAACAGACTTCCCAGGAAGGAGCAGCCCGCTCCAGGGAAGCCCCCATCTGGCTGAGGCAATCTGTCCGTCTGGAAGAGGGTAGAGTATGCCAAACACTACAGCAGCTGTGCCCAAAGCGAGTTCTGCAAATCTGAAAGACTGTCCCTAGGAGAGAGGGTTCCCTGCAGAAGTCTGTTTGGGAATCATGTGTCCTCCCCTTAGCTCTGGAGAGTCCCGGCCCATATTGCTGTATTAAAGGTTCTTGTAAGTCCTGGGGGGAGAAAGGGCCCATGTTGGGGCACCCGGACATTTTCTAAGCATTTTTAGCCACAGGGCTATTCTTCAGCCCCCATAGGCCTCGGAGGACATGAGTTTTCCTTGGGATACAGCTTTGGAAACACGGTTATGTACAAATCCCTTCCCTGATCCCAGCAGCCTGGACGTCACCACCCAGCCACAGCTGATGCTGGGGAGAATGGGTAAGTGGATTGGGGGGAAAGGGGGTGGGGTCTGGGGGAAGGGGGCCTGGTCTGCCTCCCAAGGGCTCCCAGAAGCCCTTCATTCTCCCCGGATGGTCTTCTCTGTCAAATACCGCCCATCCAAAGGCAGGGGGGCTCCACCAGGGCCCAGCCCTCCCCTCAGGATGGAAGAAAATTCTTTTGTTTTGTTTTTAAGATTTTATTTATTTATTAGAGGGAGACAGAGAGAGCATGAGCAGGGGGAGGGGCAGAGGCAGAGGGAGAAGCAGACTCCCCACTGAGTGGGGACCCTGATGCAGGGCTGGACCCCAGGACCCCAGGATCATGACCGAGCAGAAGGCAGACGCTTCACCGACTGAGTCACTCAGGCGCCCCAAGATGGAAGAAAGTTTAAAGCTGCAACTCAGTCCCTGAGTACCAGAAAACTAGTCCCTTGGTGCCAGAGGCTCTGGACTGGAACAGACAGGGTTCGAGGACCAGCTCTGCCTCCGAACAGCTTTGTGACCCTGGGCAAGTCAACCTCTTGAACCTCAGTTTCCTTCTGAAGAATTGGATGCCAGTGCTTAGACCACAGGGTTACGGTGATAATACAACTTGATAATTATAACAGTCACACTTATATTGTACCGTGTGCCCTGCATGGCTCTCAACACTTTACCTATGTTAACATTTCTTCCCTAACAATTCTACGAGGGAGGTATTGTCCCCGTGTTACAAATGTGAACACTGGGGCACAGACCGATTGCAACTTGCCTGAAGTTGTTGCCCAAGCGACGGGTGGCAGGGCCAGGACTCAAACCCAGGGAGTCTCGCTCTGGAAGTCACTGTCGCAGCAAACACTCGGCAAGTGGCAACCACATTTTATGTCATCACAGAGAGATTCGGGGGATCTAGAGATTGCGGAGGTGGGAGTTGAGAGGAGCCCATCTAATACAGGATGAGAGAACAAGTGGAAGAAAGGGACACGGGAGGGGATCTCCGTTCCCAGAAAGTTTGGCACTCTATCTCCTTTGCATCTGATTTCCTATCACAGTAACCTCACCCCTAAGGCGAGGAAGGGAGGCCTCATGGAGGGTGTCCCATCTTCCCCAGTACTGCCGTGCATTGGTTATCAGGGCCCTGAGGAGCACAGTCTGTCTTGTTCCATGTGTCACCTCTGTCCTTGCAGGAAGTGACACTCCACAGCTGGACATGAGTCGGTAACAGGGCATGTCTGAGCCTGGGGTCTCCAGAAAGCAGAGCTTATGACAAGATTTGGGTGTGAGCACTTAGCAGGCGGGTGTGATCCAGAGAGCAGGAGTGTGTCCTGGGATGCTGGGGGGGCGGGGGGCAAGCTGAGTTGCTCTGACCCACGGGACCACCAGGAGCACGCAGCCCAGGAGAGAAGCAGAAGCCTATGCGCTCTGGCTGCACCCTGCATTGGCCAAGCTCACCCTAAGGGGCACCATTCCTCCTACCCCTCCAGCCTGTGTGGGGCTTTGTGTCCGAAAAGGCCCAGCCAGGCCAGGAAGCAGTGGGGGGTGGGGGGCACAGGCAGGCTCGAGGCAGGGCAGCAAAGCCCGTCAAAACCTCCGTGAAGGGCAGACACGCTTGCGTGGAGCTGGGCGGCAAGACCGTGGCCAGAATCAGAGGCAGGGCCAGATCGGAAGCAGCGCCTGCCCACAGCTGTCTGCTTCCAGGAGCTGGGGACATGTCGTGATCGTGTCTGTTTGGAAGGAGTCAGCAGATTTCGAATGAAGGACACGTGGCGTGAAGGATCCGACACAGGGAGGCCAGCCCACAGTTGGTGGTTCTCAAACTTTGGTGGGAGGCCTGGGTCAAGCGCAGATGGCTGGGCCCCCTTTCTGCCACCTTCGGGGGGTGCTGTTGCCGCAGACCCAGGGAGCACCCGGAGAACCACCCGTGTTGTTTCGGAGCCCTGGGAAGGAAAAGAAAGGTTTCCAGTCCCCCGAGATCTCAGAAGATGGACATGAGATGGAGGCAGGAGACCCAGACTCTGGTCTAGATGCAGCTCTCTGGCCTCAGTCTTCCCATCCATAGGGAGTGAGTGCATTGTTCCAGATGATCCCTGTGGGCCTTTCTGCTCTGGGGTCTCACGAGTCTTAGAGCTCAGGTTGGGAAGGGGGAATGTGGAAAGTTGTCACCAGCCCTGGACACCTAGGGAGGAAGAAAAGAAGTCTGACCGTCCTGGGGAAGGGCTGTCTGTCTCCGGGGCAGCAGGGAGCCTGGAAGGTCAGTGCTCCCCCTGCTTGCTTCTGCAGGGGCTGATAGCGACTCCTGGGCCTCTCTCCCTGCTTGGGCCTCTAGCTGTCTGGCAGACCCAGAGGGGCTGTCAAAGGGCTGAAAGTCCAGGAGGATGAGGTCTTGGGAGGAAACATAACCCAGGGCAGTTGGCCAGGAGGCCCTGGTCCTTTGCTGAGAACATTTTTGCCTCTGCATGGATTTGAGCTCCGTGGCCTGGCGTCCGAGGTCCTCGACAACCAAACACAAATGAACTGGTCAGCCCATTCCAGTCAGAATTCAGGACACACAATTACTTTCCTCAGGCCGCTGAGGGCACGGAGGCTTTGAAACCAGACAGATTCAGATCAAATCCTGTGTGACCTTGACCTCTCTGAGCCTCCTCTCCCTCAGGTGTAAAATGAAAGTAATCATGCTTACATCTTGGAGTTGACTCAAGGCCTGAACAGGATAAGGTAGATAATAGTATGTCTGACATGAAGCAGGACTCGAGAAATGACAGCAATTGCCATTTAAGCCCAAAGTGCTCTGTGACACTCTCTCGGTCATTAATACCATCTACAGACAGATCACCCCGCATTTGTTTCTCCAGCCCTGGTATTCAGACTCAGATGGACAATAGCACACCAACACCTCCACTTGGATGTCTCATGCGTATCTCAAACTTGACTTGGCCAGTACGGAACCTTGGCTCCCTCGTGGGCTGCTCAACAGCATTCTCTCCTGCCCGAATGTCCCCCCACCTCCCGCCCACCACCCCGT